TTTCTTTCGTCTGTCGATTTTGGAACTGGTTCGGAACTATAGAATATAGGACTAGTTCGGTACTATCGAAAAAGGGATGCAGCGGGGGGCAATTGACACTGGGTCTAAATGTACTAGAAGCGCACCAGTTCAGAACTAGAGATTTTCCCCACAGGGTATATCTAAAGTGACGAACTTAGAACTAGTTCGGAACTATCGAAAAAGGGATGCAGCGGGCGGCAATTGACACTTCCTAGGACATCACCATGTTAAATTCGCCAGTTGTTTGCATGCAAAAGAGATTTATCGGGAACCAGTACTGGGTCTAAATGTACTAGAAGCGCACCAATTCAGACCTAAAGATTTTCCCCACAGGGTATGCATGTTCAAATTTTCCTTATGTGTAATCACTTGACAAATAAGTGTAAATATGTATCTGACATTTTCGTTAAGGAAATGGATAAAATTTACATCGATTTTACATATTTCAAGTTGCTCAGTTCTTTAGCTTGAAAAGTTGAATTCATTGTGGTTCAGCAGTTTAAAATCCTTTAAATTTTCTTAGAAATGATGTGACCACATTGTATATTTTAATTGGATTTTGGGCAAACAATTACTACTAAGGAAAAAAGGTTGAAGGTCCACATTTAACGCATTTACATTAAATTGAATCAAGTTATATTTAATAAATAATAAGAAAAATATACACTTAAACAAAATTAAAAAGTATCCTTTTCCTCCGCCTTCTGAGTTTAATGGTTATATTGCTTTAATTCGCCTTTAAGCGTTAAGCGTTCAAATATCTGAACTGGATTTTTTCAGCCGACCCTTTTCAAAGCTCATTAGCGGCAGCAGTAAAGAACGGATTACCCATTTTGCGGGTGTGTTCCCAAGCAACAGCTGCTCACTGCCTATAATTTGCTGTCTATGCTTTGTTTGGTAGACATTTTTTTATTTTTTTTGAAATTTTTTATTAATTAATGCTCATTTGCTTCTATTCGTTTTAACGGTAAAATTGCGGGCAACGAAGAAGCGGACCGACTAGCTAGATTGGCGGCCGCCTCGTCGCCTATAGGGCCTGAGCCCTTCCTACCGATTGGACCCAGTACAATCAAGGAGGAGCTCAGGAAAGAAAGGAACATACAAAGGAATCAACACTGGCGCAACACTACAGGTTTACGTCAAGCAAAACAACTACTGGGAGGCTACAACCTCACGAGGTACAGGGCAGTTATCAATCTATCCAAAGGAAAACTAAGGATCATAACAGGTTTTCTGACGGGTCACTGCAGACTGAGAGGCCACCTACACAAGCTAGGGATTTGGTCCAACGACCTATGTCGTTTCTGCGACGTGACCGAGGAGACTCCCGTGCACCTGCTTAGCGAATGCGTGGCGGTCGCGAGAAGACGGGAGAGGCACCTGGGCCACTACTGGCCAAGTAACGAAGCAATACAATCGCTAATCCCTGGGGATCTCCTCAAATTTTTGGGCTCTCTAGGATTAGATGAGGTACTGTAAATGGTTGAGGGCACAATAGACCTGCTGGTCGCAGTGCATGCCTCTATTAATTATCTATCTATCTAACGGTAAAATTCTTGTCTTAATAAATGTGGTTGAACCTTAAACGGTTGGCTACGCCTTTTTGAGGGAATATCATAGATACTAAGCTGTATTTAAATTGGATTAAAAAATTATTTTCAGGTCTCGGGAGGCTGTGAAACCGCTGCTACCTTGAAGACAAGTGTCGCAAAAGTTTTTTTTTAAGTTAGACCATTTTCATATAGGAATTTTATTGAGTCATTTAACTTTTCAAACCATCCATCGTTTTTCGGCGTTCAATTATTTCGTTTAAATTTTAAAACTAAACTAATTTTGTCTAAAAACAAAGTTATGCCAATTTTTCCGGTACACTATACCTATATTTCCGATGTTGAAGATGTAGGAACTTTTGGGTGTTACGATCACGAGAAACTTGCGGTACCGACTAAACCGTGCACCAGTAAAACTCACTATTTAGGTTCGCATACATAACTTGTGCATGAAAACACAGCAAGTCCAAAGCACATATTTAAACACAATACTAATTTGATTTATGCTCTTGTCAAGCTAAACAGATTCTTGTGTGTTTTGCTTTGACCTCCACGAAATCTCACAAACTTACAACTACTTGAGTTGGATAACATTTGCCAGTGACTGAAGTTTCATGAAGAACATGGTTTCATAAAGCGTGAATTATTACCCAAACTAATTTTTGGTCCGTCATTCTATCACAATTTATTACTTGCCACTTATGTATGTATGTGGTGGCATGCATTAAGTCATGCTATTGTACATGCATAGTATGCTTTGTATTCACATACATAATTAGAGCAAATAAAGCTCCTTCTTCCTAATTATTATGCAGACTTGCATGATTGTAGCACAGCGCCTAGTTTAGTTTTGCTTATTGTTGAGCACCATTAATTAAAGTTTTCCTTCCAAGTCTCCATCACAAATTGCTGCCATTATATTTGTTTCGTAAGAATTTGCTTTGGATTTTCAGGTATTCCGCAGCCACATTTGATTGTCTGTACTACTTTCAATGCAAAAGTACGCTCATAAAAACAACAAATAGAATTACAAAAAAAAAAAAACAGCAAAGTATTTCTCACCCTTAAATTATGCCAACTCATTGTTTTGTATCTTTTGCTTTGCTTTATTTTGCTACCAACATCCGTTCTTGTGGCCATTATCCTTTCGTGCCGCCACACAACTACATAGCTGCTGGCAAAAAACGGAAGTAGAGGCATCACCTATTGTTTTGCCCCAGCAACAAGCAATTTTGGTTGCGACGCAGAAAAAATATATGGAATAATTCAACAGCAGCGCAGCAACAGCAATAATGGCATTTCTCTGAGCTTAAAAGTTTTTTCCTTGAATATGGCCGACTTAAGCGTAGACATACAAACAAAAGCATAGCATAAAAATAATTTAAGATAGCAAAAAATGCGTGGAAATTTACACAATAGCGGAATAACTTTTATTCTTTTTTAACCGACCTTAAAAAAGGAAGAGGTTTTATATTTTTATATTCGCCTATATATTTTTATACAATTTTTTGTTTTCATATACACATTTTGCACATTTATGACTTAAGCAGATGTACTCAAGCAAAAAGGCTGACAAGCAAATCGAGCAAGAAATAACGTGAAAAATTTTGAAGCAGCTATAAAAAGAGGGAGTTTAAATTAGTTTTTCTGGGCCTTTCCTTTTCTTTGCCTTTTTCCCCTTTTTTTGTTAGCTTTACTCAAGGTTAATTCGCTTTGTTTAGCCGATTTTCAATAGCCAGGTGCGCCTAGGAAATGCTTTAGCTGAAAATGAGAATACTTAGGCATTCACCCTGCATCATCAAAAACAGTTACAGGTTTCCAACCAGAATTAAAAAAAAAATATTATATTTTAAGACTTCTGCAAAATACTTAAATATTAAGATTTACGTGAACTAGATCGATTTGAAAATACCTGCGCCAAATATTCTATCATCGGAGTTAATTTTTTAGCGCTCGCATACGCACTGTCATATTTCTCGTATGCGAAATCTTATTGTAAAGAAATTTTTTTAACACGGGCATTTGATCGCATTTAAGTGCGACTTTGTTGTAAGATTTTTATAGATGTTGCCAAAATTGTAGCTTTTTGCATAGTTGTGCCTGAACAACGATTATCGGGATAGAACCACTTCTTTCCTACTTGGAATAAAAGAAAATGTGAGAAAATAGTTGCTTAATCCATAGCTAGGTATGCGATAAATAGTATGAGAATTCTCTTAATTTATATCGTATACTTTCTGTGATGAGCGGTCTACACCAGCGCAGGTAGTAAGTATAGACGCACAGTGGCGGACCTAAACCTGATTCCCTTCTTCATACTTAAAACTGTAAGCTCTGTCAATACTACAGACCTTTTACTCACTTACTCAGTCACCCTTCGGCACCTTTTTGCATTAAACTTAATTTAAAAAATCATAACCATCCTAACGAAAATATCTATCAAAAGCTCAGTTTTGTTTGAGGTTAACTGCTTGTAGAAAATTTTTCGCCCTAAATAATTTGTTTCAAGAGTTAATCAACTAAACCTAAAAAAATAGCCAAAAACAAAAATTTGAAGTGTTAAAAAAAAATTTCACCAAAATTAAAAAAAAAAATGTTTAGTGTCCAGAAAAATTTTGGGCATGCAGTGGCTAAGAGGACGCGTTGATTTTTAATAATTTTTTCGCACTTTGCACTTCTGCATGCTAAATGGGGAATAAAAGAGTTTGTTATATTTTTGAGAATCAACGCGAACTCTTAGCCACTTGCAATTTGCACTTTATCATACTAGAATTTAATGGTCTATAAAACTGCATACTCAATATTCGTATAAAAACCAAACAAAAAAAAAAAATTTTTTGGTGAAAATTTTGTAATAATATTGAAATCTTTTTTTTTAATTTCTTCGTTTTGGTAGAACCCTACAATTGTTTTCAACAGGAGAATCGATTTTCTTCAAAGTTGCTACTTTTTCTGCACTTTGCACAAAAAATTAATAAACAAAAATTTATAATTTCGGCTCAGCTGGTCTCTTGCAAATTTAATTAGCTTTCATTAAAAGAAATTAATAAAATTTGCAAGAAAAATGAAGGCTCTATAGAACATAGTTTGTATGGAAGAAACTCTCAGTAAAACCAATACCAAATATTCTAGATCTAGTGAATTGTGAACATTAAATTCAAGTTTGGAACCACTGTGCGATAGACGTACACCGACTTACATAAATATATAAGTATCGACGTGCACGCAAGCCTTGTAGGTCAAACTAGCTACTAGCTCACCTCATTAGCGGATGATCTGGTTAATGTGCTTTTCTACAAGTAGTTTTATTTTATCTTCCATTATTTTCTTACCTGCACAGCCTTTCTTCTCCCCATGATGACATCAGGATCGTTGGTTATATGCTCTTCGATTATAAAACGTGATTTATCACTTTATTTTTAAATTTACTCAAATAAATTTCGTGGTCTTCACTGTCGGAACCGATTGCATGCACACTCGATTTTCCAGCATCACTGATTTAAGAGAGAATTTTTGATTGAAGATAGATGATTTTCTAGTTGTAATAACTTTTATTTTAATGAAATTGAAATAAATTGGTGGCTATTTGTATAACGATTTGTAAAATATACATTAGAGCTGGGACTATTCACATATCCGAATATTCGTTCGAATATTCGTTCGAATATTGGTTATTTTATTGTTATTTTTTAGATGTAGCATTTGTTCGCTAATATTCGTTCGGTTTGTCATCCGGCTATTCGAATTTTTTAATCAGGTATTCGAAAATCCGGATAGAACTCTCAGCCCTAATACACATGAATAATTTGCCAAAATAAATTTATTTTGTACTTACACCAGCGTTGTGTAATTGTCGGAGGAGAGATTCATAGTGAGTTGATCTTTCATTTTGCGTAGTCGTACACCTGCCTCCGCATATTTAGTACCCAACTGTGACGACCATTCACGAAACACAGCCAAAATTTTTGTCATTCGACAGCCCTGTTCGAAAGAAATGTAAGTGCTACATCAAAAAGTGATTGAGTAACACTTTCGCGGCTTGATTTGGTAAGAAATAACCAGATATAAACTTCTGTATGCAAGCAGAGTTTCAAAGCTAAAAATTAATTTTTCTACCCCACTTACCTAATTTTACGTTTCCTATTCCAGTTTTGTCTCTCTGTCTCTCAGCGTCTCTGCTCGGTTCATGAATTCCTCCAAACGAAGTTTTGTTGGATTTTCATTTCGTTTAATGCTTTGAAGATAGCGATTAAATGCATTACGTAGCTGTAAACACTCCTGGGAGGAGCGTTCGATGGAATTGTTCTTCCTATCATTTAACAAATTCCTGTAAACATAATAAGGTATTCATCGAATCTTATAAATGCATTATAAACCGTATAAAATTATAATTGTGTAAACATATCAATACTGAACGTAGAGGGTTGTGAAAATACCGAAATCTTGAAAACAAGGGGGGTCAAAATTTATTTAAAACTTAGAGAAGCGAACATTTTTGGGCCTTAATCAAACTACGCCTAATGGTTAGTATTCATATATGGTAGTAAAATTCCAATAGGATTTTTCTCTATCTCATCATTATATGCTGGGACCTGTTGGACTCGGTGACTTATAGCCCATTCCCACCAAGGGCTTAACTGCAGTAAAGAGCTCAGCATTGGAATTCTGACAATCGCTACGCTAAATTTTTGTCGCTAAAATTATCTATGTAAATGAAAAGCAGTGGGGCCTAAAAGTATACAAAAAAGTGTTGTTAGGGCCGCCTGCTACTCTTTTGGAGATTTTTGACGATAAAATTTAGCAATAGCAAATGTTGGAATCCGGCTACAGAAAAATTCAAATAAAGTTAACATGGGGTGATTAGCAAAGTTTATTTTTTACTTTTTGCTTTCAAATGCTTGTACTTGTTATGAGCAATTACCCCCCTCGAGCTATAATCTCCTTTTTTCCAATAGGCATTAACTGCAGTTAAGTCTTGGTGGAAACTCTTACTCTCGTATCAGCCAAATAGAATGCAGTGAATGAGGTGGAATAGAAAACAATTTATTTTGGTTACCCTGTCACAATGCTTCCCTACTTTACAAATTTAATAGTGCATAATTATAGTAGAAGCTCATATTTACTAAATTTATTGAAGAAACTATTAACAAGTTTTGAAGAAAATAAGTTTCTTCGCTCTTTCGGGAAATTGTCGGATAGTATTGCGCGCCAAGCGACGATATACATACTTTATTTTATGTCGTTCTGCTTTTCTGAAGAATGTATGATTTTAACTAGGAGGGCCCCATCCCAAAAATTTGCCACGGGCCTCAGATGGTATAGTTGCGCCACTGAATCCGGTGCACTAAGGTTCCAAGCGCAGGAGCGTCTTAATTTTTTCGCCACTTGACTCTAGTCAGGTGAGTTTTCGGCTGTCGCTGTACTTAGTTTGTGAAATTCTCCCAAATAAATGAATCCAATTATTTTTATTTTACCCTGAGTGTTGAAATGCGCTGTGGAAAATTCATATTCAAAAATTCTCTTTAAGCGGAAATCCGTGCGCCAAAATATGAGTAGAACTTTTTTCATATTTATACCAAGTCAGCGAGGAAGGGGGAATATATGAATATTATGCATGTGTGCGCTGAAATCTAAAAGCGTAAATGCTTGCATTCCTACAAACATTCGTACATAAGTTTATAGCATTTACGTCAGCTTTTAACCATTCACATTGACATTGACTTGGCGGAAAACAGCTGCATTTTGTTAAATATGAAAGTTTATGCAATTTTTATGAAAAAAAACACATTGTAAACAAGTGAACTGCGCAGAATACTTATTTACTGCTGTCAGCAAGCGGCACAAGCGAAGGAAGAAGCGTAGGAAAGGAAAACTTATAAAGCTTGCAAAATGTCTTGTAATGTGAGAAAATGATTGCTGTGCGAACTGGCGTTGCATTTCACTTCAAGTTATCGTAATGAAGATGTTAAGTCAGCCAAATGAAGCCGGATGCACCATTATTGTGCGCACGCGGGGAAATATGTAGCTCTGTGGCAGTATTGGCTGCTGAATCTACATATTTATGTACCTACTTCAGCTTTACAGTTATTTATTTACTTGCTTTTGCGAGTTCACTAAAAGCAAGTTTCTTGATTAGAAGTCCCGCCGGCATTGTTGTGCAAAAGGAGTTGAAATAATTGGTGGGTGCTGTCTTGAAAATATATTATTTTAAAATTTGCACCTTTTATTTATCCCACAATCCGATTCCGGTTCCACCGTTATTTTTGGATATCTATAGGCGGTTCTTTTGAAATCATGATTTTTCGAACACAGAATGAACTGAGTTTTTTGTACCTAACAGAAGCTTTTTTATGGCAGAATTACACTCAGAGGTTTGCTATTAGGGGTATTCTCTGAGTCTTGCAAAGCCCTTGCATGGTGCACAGATTGCACGGATTGCACGGTAAAAACCGGTTTTCGTATGGGAGAGCTTTGCAAACCGTGCAATCCGTGCACCGTGCAAGGGCTTTGCAAGACTCAGAGAATACCCCTATTGTTTGTTGAGGGGCGATTGCTATTTGAAAAAAACTTTTTCTTTGGCCTCCCGAGTGGCAGTAGGCACATCTAAGCACTCGGCTACGGCGGGAGGGGCATTAATCAAATCCGAAAAAAGTCAGAAAAATTTTAAGTATTAAAAAGTAAAAATAAGACGAAGCGTTAATTTTTCACAGATTTTCATTTTGATCTGAAAATAAATAAACAGTCCAGCGCCTTCACCTTGGTCTGCAGGCTGTATCGGAGACATAGCCGCTAAATTTAAACGTAGAATACGTGGTATGGTTAAGAGCACATCCAAGTCAAAAACGAAAGCACACACTAAGAAAAAAATATCGATAACTAATGCGATAATAATATCGATAGCAAAATCGATAACAAAATCGATAAAAACATCGATAACAACACCGATAAAATATATCGATAACAAAATCGACAATAATATCGACAGCAAACTCGATAGCAAAATCGATAATAAAACCGATAAAATATCGATTATTATATCGATAAGTCTCGAGAATTCCGAAAATCCCGAAATAGTCGCCAGATTGAGTCTCTGTCTATATTCTTTGCTCTATAATTACCTTTTATAAATATTGCGCCATTTAAAAGCTGTACTTGAGTTTTTGATTAAAGAAAACAAAACAAAATCATTCGAGCGGTTTTCGAGCATTTTGGAAAAAAAAACTTGCGAATTTTTCAAAAATTTTTGGCATTAAAATGCGCAATATTTGTTGAACTTATATACAATTAGTACACGATAATATTTCTATTGGTCCCAGGAATCTATATCCCGAAAATGAAAGTTTTACCTGCAAATCGTTAGTTGCTAGAGCACTTTAAAGGCTCAAAATCGATCCCGAAATAAGCCAATATTTGCCGTTATTTCTAAGACAGGAACTGAATTGGTTACTTACAAAAATGTATGTGTCGATAGGTTTGGAATCATATCCTTGAAACGCCACACTTTTCTTCTTCTCTAAAAATTACTACTACAAATTACAACGAAACGTAAGACCTATTCTACGTCAATAAATGAAGTGTTAAAAAGAATAAAATTATTCCAATATCGCCTGAAGCGA